AAAAAAGAAAACCATAGACCAGTATCTGATGAACACAGATGCAAAAATCCTCAACAAAATACTAGCAAAGAGAATTTAATAACATGTGAAAAAGATTATTCATCATGATCAAGTGGGATTCGTCCCAGGGATGAAAGGATGGTTCAACATACACAAGTCAATCAATGTAATACATATCAACAGAACAAAGGACAAAAACCATATGATCATTTCTTTTTTTTTTTTTTTCTTTTTTTTTTTTGAGACAGAGTCTCACTTTGTTGCCCAGGCTAGAGTGAGTGCCATGGCATCAGCCGAGCTTACAGCAACCTCAAACTTATGGGTTCAAGTGATCCTTCTGCCTCAGCCTCCCGAGTAGCTGGGACGACAGACATGTGCCAGCATGCCTGGCTAATTTTTTCTATATATATTAGTTGGCCAATTAATTTCTTTCTATTTATAGTAGAGAAGGGCTCTCACTCTTGCTCAGGCTGGTTTCGAACTCCTGACCTCGAGCAATCTGCCCCACTCGGCCTCCTAGAGTGCTAGGATTACAGGCGTGAGCCACCGCGCCTGGCCCATATGATCATTTCAATTGATGCTGAAAAAGCATTCGATAAAATTCAACATCCCTTTGTGATAAAAAACTCTCAAAAAACTGGGTATGAAGGGACTTATCTTAAACATGATAAAAGCCATAAATGACAGACCCACAGCTAGTATCATACTGAATGGGGAAAACTGAAAGCCTTTCCTTAAGATCTGGAACAGGACAAGGATGCCCACTTTCACCACTGTTATTCAGCATAGTACTGGCAGTTCTAGCTAGAACAATCAGACAAGAGAAAGAAATAAAGAATATCAAAACTGGAAAGGAAGAAGTAAAATCATCCTTGTTTGCAGACAGTATGATCTTATATCTAGAGAAACCTAAAGACTCCACCCAGTCAGCATTAGGGCCTCTGGGAAAAAAGAAAAAGGAAAAGAGAAACAAATTTTTTTTAAATGTTAAAAAACATTGGCTTCCTGGCATATTTTGGGAAAAGTGTAACTAAAAATAATAATAATAATAATAAAAAGACTCCACCTGAAAACTATTAGAACTGATAAACAAATTCAGTAAAGTTGCAGAATGCAAAATCAACATATAAAATCACTAACATTTCTATATGCCAATAGCAAATTATCTGAAAAAGAAACCAAGAAAGTAATTCCATTTACAATAGCTACAAATAAAGTAAAATACCTAGGAATAAACTCAAAGTAGTGAAAGATTTCTACAATGAAAACAATAAAACACTGATGAAAGAAAGTAAAGAGGACATAAAAAATGGAAAGATATTCCATGCTCATGGATTGGAAGAATCAATATTATTAAAATATCCATGCTACCCAAAACAATCTACAGATTTAATGCAATCTCCATAAAAATGCCAATGACATTCTTCATACAAATAGAAAAAATAATCCTAAAATTTATATGAAACCACAAAACACCCAGAATAGCCAAAGCCATTCTAAGGAAAACAACAACAACAACAACAACAACAACAACAACAAAAAACAAAACTGGAGGAATCACATCACCTGACTTCAAATTATACCAAAGAGCTACAGTAACCAAGACAAAATAGTACAGGCATAAAAACAGAGGCACACACCAATGGAACAGAATAGAGAAACAAGAAATAAATCAACACATCTGTAGTGAACTTATCTTTGACAAGGGTGCCAAGAACATATAGTGGGGAAAGGACAGTCTCTTCAATAAACTGTGCTGGGAAAACTAGATAACCATATGCAGAAGAATGAAACTAGACCCTTACCTCTTGCTATATACAAAAATCAAGTCAAAATGGATTAAGACTTAAATCTAAGACCTGAAACTATGAAACTACTAAAAGAAAACACTGAGGAAACACTTCAGGACAGTGGTCTGGGCAACTATTTTTTGTATAACACCCCAAGAGCACAGGCAAATGAAGCAAAATTAAACAAATAGGATCACATCAAGTTAAAAAGCTTCTGTATAGCAAAGGTAACAATCAATAAAGCGAGGCGAAATCCCATAGAATGGGAGAAAATATCTGCAAACTACTAATTTGATGAGGAATTAATAACCAGAATATATAAGGTCCTCTAAGAACACAACAGGAAAAGATCAAATAATCAGATTAAACAATGGGCAAAAGACCTAATGAGAGGTTTCTCAAAAGACATACAAATGGCCAACAAGTATATGAAAATATGCTCAACATCATTAATCATCAGAGAAATGAAAATCAAAACTACAATGAGATATCATCTCACCCCAGTTAAATGGCTTTTATGAAAAAGACAGGCAATAATGAATGCTGACGAGGGTGTGGAGAAAGGGGAACCCTCATACACTCTTGGTGGAAATGTAAATTAGTGCAACCACTATGTAGAACAGTATGGGGGTTCCTCAAAATACTAAAAATATAACTACCAGATGACTCAGCAATCCCACTGCTCGGTATATAGCTAAAGAAATGAAATCAGTATATCAAAAAGATATCTGCACTCCCTTGTTTATTGCTGCACTATTCACAATAGACAAAATTTGGAATCAACCTAAGTGTGTAAAACAGATGAATGGACAAAGAAATTGTTGTGTGTATACACACACACACACACACAATATATAGCTATAAAAAGGAAGAAAATCCTGCCATTTGCAACAACATGGCTGTAACTGGAGGACATTACGTTAAGTGAAATAAGCCAAGCACAGAAAGACAAATCTCACATGTTCTTACTCATATGTGGGAACTAAATATTAGAGTTGATCTCATGGAGACGGAGTGTAGAATGATGGTCACCAAAGGCTGGGAAAGGTAGCAGGGGGAGGGAGATATGGTGGTGATGGTTAATGGGTGCAAAAATATAGTTAGACAGTTATAAATAGAAGGAACAATATTTGATACGACAATGAAGTGACACTAATCAACAAGTTAGGATATACTTTAAAATAACTAAAACAATAGAATTGGAATGTTCCTAACATAAATAAATGATAAATGCTTGAGGTGATGGATACCTCAATTGTCCTGATTTGATTAACATACATTGTATACCTGTATCCAAGATACGACATATACCCTATAAATATATATAACTATTATGTACCCTTAAAATTTAAAAATAAAAAATTAAGAAAAAATGGTTCAGATGTCTCATGATTCCATTAAGGGATTAGTAATCCCTAAAAAAAACAAAAACAAAAACAAAAAAAACAAAAACAAACAAACAAACAAAAGGAATGAGCACATTTTAGGGTTCCAGACACATACCCTAATTGAAGCTAATGTAAACTGGATGAACTATTTTTTTTTTCTCATGCTAAAACATTCTAGCAAAAATATTTGTAGTTAAAAGATCTACCACTTCAGAAGAGATCACAAAAGGATAAGAAATGCATATCTCTTATGTGTTTGGGATACTATTTTAATATTTCATGTTGTGTTTTGCCTTTAATAAATGACTTTTACACATATTAATATGATTTCATTTAAAGTTTATAAAACTAAGGTAAATAAAACTTTTCTCTCCTTTTTACAGGTGAGAAACAAACACTCACAGATGTTTACATGCCCAAACTTAGCCAACTAGAAAGTGGTTAATAGACCTGGTCTTCCCAACTAAAGTATTACAGAAAGTTTGGAAAATAAAGGAAAAAACTAAAATGTCCATTAAGTCCAACAATTATCTTGTAATGCATTTTCACCTTCCTTCCCTCTACAGAGCGTGATCATTGGAATACACTGGGGTTGTTTTCGGTTAACATCGTGTCATGTACATTTATCTTTATCATGACTACCTAATCTTCATATAGACCATTTAATGACTATCCAATACTACGATACGTGAATTAATTCATTCCAAATAACACTATGGGTCAGCTGCTACCCTCTGGAACCAAGAAAAAATGAGAAAAATATAGTTACTTAACCAACTCTGTTATTGGCCAGTCAGGTTGTTTGTTTGTTTTTTGCTAAGATGACAAGTCCCTTCATTATGGCATATGTATCACAGTGGTGGCCGCCTGAATGAACAGCCACCCTCTCATCAGTGATAACCTGTCTCCTTCCCTTTCCAAAGTTTTTGAATTATTGCCTGTTCATTTAATTCTGCACCCTTTGCCTTTCTATATTTAATAATTGAGAAAAAATATAGATGAAAATATTTTTATATTTTATTCCCTATTACTTGCAAAGATAGCTATTTTACACAGAATAAGTGTACCTTTTAGAGGAGCAGTGAAAGCTGTTATAAAAGCATGGATAAAATTGACTGAGAAAGAAAAAAAAAAGGTCTATGTTTCATTTTACTTGGCTCTCAGCAGATCATTTGGGCTTTTGCTTTCCCTAAAATACAACCAAGCTAGAACTACATGGCACAAGCTAAAAGGGTGATCTGGAAGTTGATTAATTTATCTGGAAAACAGTCAGCTCTCTATTTCAATTCATGCGGTGACGACACAGCCTAAATCAAATTTTAAACAAATGCAAACATAGCCAGTCTCTAGGCCAAATTCTGGAAAAACACCTTAAGAATTCCAAGTGGAAGTCTTTGTAGATCCTGAGAGGCCTATATGTTGCTTTTAATTTAGAGAAGTGTCAAAATACATCTCTCCAAGGGCCAAGAAAGGAGGATTATGCAACTTAATGAGACTCTGCCATATTAAATCCTGAGTTGATAGCTCTCTAAGTTTTAAGCAATCCTCAGCAAATGTTCTCATCACTTTGGATCCTTTATCCTCCTCGAGGCGTCTCTGGATTGGAAAGCACGTCAGAGGCCATCTAGCCCACAGTCATCACCCATATCCTAATTCCACTGACAGGGCAGGCATGGAAGGGCATGGAAGCTTCCAGAGACAGTATTGTGCCAGGACAATTGGCTACTTCTTGCCTCCCTCCCAGAGTGTTTCGCCCAAACCTGTGTAGGTCAGGTCCCTGCAGGGAGCCCTCTGTCCCTTGCACAGTGCCACTGGGACTTACCTCCAGAGGCCCGGGAGCGGCACTGCCCGGTCATGGGGCTGTACTCCTGGTTTTCGTCCGTGCACACGCACAGGAAGGACCCTTCCACATTCTCACAGAAGGCTTCACCACACACCCCACTGAGCAGCTCACATTCGTTCACATCTGGAAAAGGGAGCACAGATCCAGTGAGAGGTGTGGCTCCATCAAGACAGCTCTTTATTTTACCAGCTGTGCCAGGGCTCAGAGTGTCTGCTGGAAGCCAGGTGGTCCCCGGGGAGCAATCAAACCCCTTCTGCTCTTTTAAGGAAGGGGCTCCTAAAGGTAATGGTGGATGATTTGGTCTGTATGAAGGGACCATGAAAACACAAGGCAAAGGTTCTAAATTCCACTTCCAGTTTTAAGGAACACCCTGTAATTGTATTGCAAGCACAGTAAGTACTGGTTGACCGTCTAGTCTTGTCTTTCCCAACTTTTCCACATAACAAAATCCTAAATGATCCAACACTCTACTCACAGTTCTCAATTCAAGGAAAATGAAGATACTGGCACTTCAGCAACTATGGAATTAAGTTCATTTAAAAATTTTAAAGCATCTCCTTAAATATCTGAAAATACAGTTCTCTAGCAGCCAAAATGTCCAAATTAACAATAGAATCCAGGTTGCATAGCCCTTTTAGAAATGAAGGAAAAACCACTATAAATCATTTATCGGGCTATGTTAATCATCCATGTGAAACAAAGTAGTCCAATAACTAATTATTCATTTCACTATGCCTTTTCAAATTCTGTTGATGTTCTACAGTGTAATTACTATTTTGCTAACTATTTTTCTTCTGTACTTAAATATACATAATTAAAACAGTCAGGGGATCTCACTGATGAGTATTTTTCATTCAACATTATGTAAGTACACAAACCAAAGAAAGGCTAATTTTATGTTTGACCTTGCCCAATAGTACTTTTTACCTTCTTTCCTCCTAAGAGAAATGTTATTAGCAAGTACCCAGTTCAGCAAAGTACCTGACTTGAAACCTGAAATGTTAATGTGTTTTATGCATTAAACATGTGCAAACATCAGCTCTTTCACGAGCACACTCTGAGATGGTTTATACGAAGTTAAAAATTTGAGCAATTATCCAAATCATTCCAGAAAAAAAAAAATCCTATTTTCACCTGCTATACCCAGTTAATTGGACAAAAAGATTATATACTTGACTTATTTGGATAATAACCTCAGTTTTCCATTTCACTTTGTATATAAACAGACATAAACCCAATGAGAGCTGGGTTTCACTTGTGTAAAGATACTGTAACATAAAGGAAAGCATAGTTGGAATATTTAATCAACCTAAATAGTCATAATTTAGACCCCAAAAACTTAAAACTTGCCAGTTCACATTTATCAACTTTAGGTAAACGTCTACCTAAAAAGGTTTAGGTAGAAACCTTCTACTTTCCAACTTGTATTATTTATATGGCCATTAAAATCACTCCCACTCTACTGCATTCATTCAATCAAGAAATATTTTCTAGCTTACTTCTACGGGCTAGGCCCATATGGCCCATACACTGAGGAAACAATGATGAATCAGGCAGGCCTAACTCCTGCCTTCACGGAGTTTACAGTCAAGTCAGGGAAATTAAAAGATAATCTTACAGGCTGCAGTGAGTGCTAGGAAAGGAAAGTACAAAGTCCTGTGAAAGCATGGCACAGTGGACCTAAAGTGCAGGGGTGAGTTAGGGGAATGATTACGGTGTGGGGTGGGGAACAACTCATCTCTGAGGTTCTACACAATACCCAGTGTGGTGAAAGGCACAAAATAGGTGCTCATTAAATATTTTCAAAAGAATGAATAAAAAGACAAATAAAATGACATTTGTTGAGTTCACCAAAATGATAACAAATATTCCTTCTCTGAAAGTGGTGTTTTGTGTGCCAAACCGAAATGTCAACACAGGCTTGGCACACTCATCTGGCTGGTTGGAAATCAACATTAAGCAGGGGGCTCAGGAGTTATACAGAGTCAATGGTTCAACATCTGATACTCAAACAGTTAATAATTAAACAAAATTTGCTGAGCACCTACAAGAGGCCAAACATCATGTGCCACCCAGGGAGGAGAGAGACGGTCTTCAAACACATGGAGGTTATAGGCCTGGAAAAGGCGGCTGCAGGCGATATACACATGATTAAATATTCCCCCAAACATTGTAAGTATCATTATAGAACTTGCTGAAAGCATTCTGCAAGCAGGGGGGGCACAGCTCAGATAGAGAGTGACATAAGGAGCAGGGATGGTGTCTGGAAGGGGATGACACCTAACCTCAGTCTTCAAGAATGAGTGGCAAGAATCCAGGCTCAGGAAGGAGAGGTCAGGAGCACATTCCCAGCAGAAGGAGCAAAAGACAGCCAGATAACTGCACAATGACATGAGCGACCACAAGTGGTGTGATGTAGCTGGACGGTGTGATGTAGCTGGAGTCTAAAAGGTGAGGAAGTGGTGACGCTGAGAAGATAAGTAGGGGCCAAGTCACACGATCCATTCAGTCAAAACAGTTAAAATATTTTGTGAGTGTCAGACTGTTTTTATCACTTGTATTTTGGTGGGAAGGGAACTAGAGATTAGGATACTCGTAGCCGTATTATTAAAGAGCTATGTCTTTTTGTGAATACTTCTTCAATAATTATGTTTTTGACTAGCCGATACTTAGGCTCAAAACAACATCACTGCTTTGTAAAAAAAATTTTGTTACTGGGAATTAACTGAATTTCACAATTAATTCTGTAAAAGCAATTACTTTTCAAGTGATATTATCATTAAACCTCTGAATAGATTTTGTTTTCCCAGTATAATCTGGACGGTAAACAAACTGTTTTAATTGCAAATTCTCAAACAAAAAAGTTATCGACTCCTCCTCAAGTGCCATCTGTCATGTAGTGAACATGGCTATTTTTCTCTAATGAAGAAGAATAAAGAAAAAACCTTATCTTGTGAAGTTTTGAATTTGCTAGCCTTTCTTCTCTTTGCTATTTAATTGCTCTCATTGCAAATGTGCTTCATAATGAATTTGATTTGAAGAAACCAAAGCTGATCAGAGAATGAAATACAAAATGTCACCTTCCATATGAGCATGCGTTTGACCATATTCTAGGACATCTGATGATAATTCAAGGTTCCTTCCAGCCCCGTCAATCCCAGACAGAACAGACTGAAGAAATATAGTTGCACAATCCAAAGCATCGTTTTATGGGCGTCATTCCTGGAAACTGAAGCTCTTGCCAACACTTTCCTTAAATGCACTGCCTAAGAAGGTGCATTTTGAAGACAGACAAGCTATACCACACACCAGACTCTACTTCCTGTGCAGGAGGGACTCCAGAGTTCTGCACACTCAGCTAAGAGTTTAAACAGATGTTCTTTCAAACATTCATTTAAATTTAAAGTCATACTTCTATATTTCTTAATGTCCCCTTTCAGAAGCCATAGGATATTTTTCACACATCCTCAAATTGTGAGCTAAAATCAAATTATCATGAAATTCTGCCCAAATTACCTGTTTAAAAGCTCCTGTTGTGGATAACTTTGCTTTCTTTTATTGAAACATGTTGGGAAAAAAATCTAAAAACTCACCCACACACCCTTGCCCATCCTGTGGGGCTTGAAAGCCCTGATAACAGAGGCAGCGGAAGGAGCCAGCTGTATTGTCACAAAACCCGTGACTGTCACAAACAGTGTTGTTTACACATTCATCAATATCTGAAAAAAAGACATGGAACATCAGACACAAACCAATGACAAACGCCAGATATTAATGGATAAACAGAAGCACTCAACACATCTGATTAGTATGAGATGATCATGTTTACACAGCGAGAACTTAAAAACATTTTACATGTGAATAAAATGTTTTGATGAAAATGGTTTCATAGGCAAAGTGTTGGTTTCTAGGAGAAAAACATTTACTTTTCCTCAGGAAATGTTTTCAAACTAAAAGGACATTGCAGTTAATACAGCCAGTGTTTTCTAGATGTTTTCAACTATTTCCAAGGAGTGTTATATTCTAACAGGGGAAATATGTGAAAATACTGCCACCTGTTTGGTTGCAGTAAATGCTAATAACAGTTGTATCTGCACAGTCGTGGGCAGAAAGAAGCAATGGTTTCCTCAACCCTGTAGATAACCTTGATCAAGTTTACACGGCATTCTCACGAAGTCCAAGAGAGAATGTTATGAATTCAGTGGGGTAGCCAGCCAGTCCCAGTTAATGACAAGAAAAGATTTTGTGTCAACACAAGTTATAATCCTTAAAGGTCCTAAATGTCCAAGCTACTTCAACTGATGAGCCGACTTGGGAATTCATTTAGTTCTCTGCAAACTTGATGACAGTGACCATTTGCCTTTTTACCCATTACTAAAAAATGCTGACATAAAAATGATGCCTCAGTTGTAAAGTTACAATGGACTTTTAGGTAGAATTCTTCTTCTTTATCCTACAGTTACTAATTTTCATTGCCATTCTTTTCTTCCCATTATCCTTGTTTACAGACACTCTGCACCCTACCAGCTGCCAGGCTCTCTGTTCTTTCTGCCTCTGGACTTAACAGTTGTCCCAAAATACAAGTTTTTAGAAAACCAATTAAGAAAATGTAATTACAGCATCCATATAAATATATCTATATATTTATATATACATAAAGAAGATTTTAATTTTATGTTCAAATAATGAAATCAGATAGCAAATGATAAAGAAAATTAAAAGTTAAATTTCACTTGACAGAATCTGGTTTGGATGGAGTTCATATTAATAAAATTGAGCATTTTTTAAAACTTTTTAAACCTGAATTGAAGAAATTTTCTAGGAGAAAAAGAAGATACGTTCAATGATTTCTCCAGCAGCTGTTTCACGTCCCTTCCTAATTCTCCAATGCTGATGTTATTAAGCATAAGTAAAAAGACTGTCTCACTTTTGAACTGCCTACTTCAAAGTTTTCTTAATTTTCTCAACTCAAAGAAAATCACGTCCCTTTTCCTTTCAAGGTTGGGCTCCTTCTCCCATCCCAACCCATCTCTTGACCCCGTAGTCCCACCTGCTCCTCCTCCTCCAGCATCTTCAATTTTTCCTCCCCTGGCTCCTCCCCTCTCTGCCCTCAAAAATGTTAAAATAGCTTGAAAAAGCTTTCACTTGATCATGCTGTCATTTACTGTGCTTTCCCACTCCTACCCCTGCAAAATGTCTCAAAAGAATCATCTGCATCATTGCCTTTATTTCCTAATACAGCTTATCTGTAATAGGAAAATAATAACAATGAATAATAATATTCTTAATATTGCTAAGTCCCTACAATTACTGTGAGAATTAAGCAAAATAATACATACAAAGTGCTCAGAAGACTTCCTGGCATGTAATGCATCCAATACACTGCATGTCAATTATTATTACTACTATTAACACTATTCATCTTCTTCCTCCTTCTTAATGACCTACAATCTCACTTCCTAACTCTTTACCCTACTGAGAAAAGGCACCAATGACCTCATCATCAAATCTGAAGATCATCTTCTGGTCAGTCACCCTTACCCTGTAAGTCTGGTGAACACCCACTCCTTGCTCTCTCTCTTCCCATGCTCTGTGACAGAATTCTCTTCCTGTTCTACCTCTAGCCACTCTGGCTTGCCCTCATCCTCTCACAGCCTGAAGGTGAGTGTCTGCCAAGCTTTGGCCCTCCCTGGGATCTACGGAAACTCAGCCCTCCCCTCTCCACCTTTCCCAGCCTCTCCCAACTTCAACTACCATGCTTCTTGGGATAAATCCCAAATCCTCCTTTCCAGCCAGGATCCTTCTCCCAAGTACATTTCTTATTCTTAATCATTTCCATTAGATCTTCTGCCATAATCTCAAACTTATCAAGCCTAAAGCTGAATTCACTGTCTTCCTACTAAACCCCATTTCCTGACCTTAGTGAGAAATTCTTCTACTTCCATCCTTCCTTTTTGCCTCGCTTACCTCCCTACCTTAAACTAAAAATCTATGAAATTATTTCACATCTACAAAATCTGAATCTCCCTTGCAGCACCTAACATAAAGACGACACCCAATAAATCTGTTCTGACAGATACTCAATTTGTCAGCACGAGGCTGGGATTACAATTTATTTACTGATTATAACTGTGAGGAGGAACTGCCTCATGTCACCAAATCACTTAACACAGGCCACTGCTAATTTTAGATTTCCTGAAATGGGCATCTGTCAATAAGATTATGTTATTCATTGAAGCAAAGGGATTAAGGGCTGGAAAGAAACTCAGAAATGTTTTAGCTACCACTTAATACTGATGATCTCCCAGTCTTAAGGACTGACCTCTGTTTTTCAGAACCATTTATTGAATACCTATTGGACCTATTAGACATGTTGATAAGAAATGAACTTATTATTGCTCCTATACACATTTTATCAGTGAATGTAACCCCTTACCCAAGCCAGAAACCTTTTCCTGATATGCCTCTTACTCCTAATGGTTTTACCTGTCTCCGGTCTCACCTCCTTCCCTCTAATCCATTGTCCACCTAACACTTGCCAGCATGTTTTTTTCCAAAAATGCAAACCCTCCAGTGCTGTCCCCTAGTTCAGAATGTTCAGAGTCCTTTCTTGGCTAGCGGATAACCGCCACCTTCCTTAGTAGAGCGGAGAACACCCTTCATCACCTGGCTCCTGCCTACATGTTTGGCCACAGTTCTCAGACAACCTCCTTCCCAACTGGCACTACAGCCCAATCTGCGTACTAGACTTCTTTGAAAACCTATGGTCTTTAATTTCTTGTGGACTTGCTGCACACTCCTTCCTCCAATGGAATCTCCCCCTTCCCCAGCGCCACCCCTTGGCTTCGCTCAGAAACTCCCTCTTGCCCTTTAGGAGTTAGCCCAGAGGCCACGGGACACGTCCTCTGTGGCACCTTCCTTAGCCACTGCAAGGGCAGATCTGAAGGTCCCCCTCTCTCTGCTCCCAGAACATTCTGTGCCCCTGCTGCACTTATCAGGGCTACTTCTCAGGGTGGAAAACCTTCAACTTAACCTCACCAGCAACTTCTTTCCCTACTAAAATGGGAGGGGGACTAGCAAATGGGAGGAGGAAGGGAAGGAAAGTACCAGAAATCTGGTGGCTTTTCAGTCTAGATTCCTAAAGTAAAATCTCTTGCTTTATTTTTTATTAATTCTACGCAATTAGAGCATATGATGATTTCTCGTTACAGTTCACCAGCACAGGAACTGAATAATTGACCCGAAGGTGAACAAGCCCCAAGCCAGTTATGAATTACTGGGCGTCTTGCAGTCTCAGACTTACTGTAACAGTGATTAACCGAGAAAGTTTAGATGAGCAATATTTTGGATTTGAATGAATAGGAAAAAATAACATGGAATGCTGTTAGAGACTAGCTCTTCAACAACTAATATTTTATAAAAATGATATAATGTAACTCTCAGCAGTTTCGTGTTTTCAACAACGAGGTGAGGTAATGGCTTAATAAAAGGACATTTGTTTCACTTCTCTAATGACCTGTACAAAAAAAACATTATTTCATTAAAATTTTCTTTGATGATGTGAGCTCTCTGCGATATTTTTCCATTCTTAGTCTTGTCTATATGATAAGAATTGCTACAATTAAGAGTAACTCTATAAAAATAAAGCAAAATGTTAAGAAATGTATTACATTAGAATAAAAGCCCCATCAAGACTAAATGGACAAGTAAAAGCCATCCTCTTTTGCTGAAGTTGAATTTTAAAGATGAAACTCCATTTTGAATCATCCAAATATTTACCAAAGCAATTCTGCATAGGGATCTGTAAGAGCCATGTATGATATCATTAGCAATACTCTCCAACAGATTAGTAATCACAGGAGTGGCTGTCTAGTGATCTTTCAATTGTCAACCCAGATAAATTAGGTATGCTATTGTAAGAATTACTGATTTATTATACAAGTGTTTGCTATTTATATTTTACTGAACAAGCTAGATATAAATATTGATGTTTCAGTGGAAATAAAATCAAGGAAATTATATAGACCAAGGATAGTGGATCACTGATATGAACTCCCCAATAACAAATTACCTAAATGTCATAAAGAGAAAGAGTACACAGTTCTGGGTGATTGGAACTGCCAGTGGCTCATTTTAAATGTGGCAATGTCGTCACTGACTGATAAGCCCATACTTTTAAGAGTCTTAACTATTGATCTATTTGGTAGATCAATTTTCCTCATCCACATGCTTTTTACTTAATACATTTTTCTCAACGAACCAAAAGTTTTTCAAAATCTACTATTCTTTTCAGGGACTGTACACATAGGAGCAGAATTCTAACACATGCACCTGCAATTCTTAAATAATTGGTGTCAGCCTCTCATTTTAGGTAAAGTGAACTATGAAATAAGGAGCATGTATGAGAAGAAGGCATGATTTTCCAAAAGGAGCTGGGGTCAGATAAACCTTGTTAACTGCCCAAGAAATTTAAAATGTGTTCAAAGACCTCAACAATGAAATTCATAACAAATCTCGATGGTTCCATTGGGTGTCCTGTATTATTTACTGAAAAGTCTATGTGTATCTGCATATATTCAGAAAACTCTATGTACATAGTGAAAAAGAAGTATTTGTGTCCATCTTGTTAGTAAAATGATTTATTTTTCTTTTCTCAAACATTTCATTTTACCAATAAAACAGACACAAATAACTTTTTTTTATTCTTTGGGTTTTTGTT